TTCCCGACCCTCAACTTCATGCTCTTCTACCTCGTCGTGTGGCCCCTGTCGTGGGCTGCCGTGCTCGCCAACCGGCATCTCCTCCACAAGCTTCTGATCGTGTCGGCGAGCTATGTGTTCTATGCCTTCTGGAGCTGGAAGCTCGCGTTCCTATTGTTCGGCAGTGTGCTCCTGAACTGGGCGGTKGGCCGCCTGATCGGGATGCTKGCAGCGCGTCCCGTCCTCCGCCGGATCGTCCTCGGCCTCGGCRTCACGGCGAACCTCGGCCTSCTSGGGTTCTTCAAGTACTACGGCTGGTTTTCCGAAGAGCTCAACRCGCTTCTCGTCGCTTGGCAGGTGGGGCGCGAGCTTCCACTGCTCGAGGTGGTGCTGCCGATCGGCATTTCCTTTTTTACCTTCCAGGGCATTTCCTACATCGTCGATCTGTATCGCGGCGACCTCGACCGTCCCCGTCCGCTCGTCGACGTGATGTTCTTCATCTCATTCTTTCCGCACCTCGTCGCGGGCCCCATCGTGCGCGCGGCAGCCTTCCTGCCGCAGCTCGAACGCCCGCCGGACCCCGGGCGGGTTTTCGTTTCGCTGGGCGTCCTCCTCATCGTCTGGGGCGTTTTCAAGAAGGCGATCGTGGCCAACTGGCTCGCTGTCCTGTTGGTCGACAAGGTCTTCTTCGATCCTACCGAATTCGGCACGCTAGACATCCTGGCCGGCGTCTATGCGTACGCTATCCAGATCTATTGCGATTTCTCGGCCTACAGCGACATCGCCATCGGCGTGGCGGCGCTTCTGGGCTACCGCTTCCAGCGCAATTTCAATCAGCCCTACCGTGCTCAATCGCTGACCGATTTCTGGCGCCGCTGGCACATGTCGCTGTCGAGTTGGCTGCGTGATTATCTCTACATCCCGTTGGGGGGTAGCAGGCACGGGCGCGTGCGCACTTATCTCAACCTTTTCCTCACCATGGTTCTAGGCGGGATCTGGCATGGCGCAGCCTGGAAGTTCGTCGTCTGGGGCGCCTTACATGGCGGGATGCTCGTCGTCGAGCGGATGATATGGGGCGCGAAAGCCGCTGATGTGCCGGCGGGGCGCAGCGCGCTCGCCCGCGCGTTCGGCGTTCTC